GTTCCTGGATCGACGTGCCTTGCCACGTGGCATGTCCTGGTTGGCCAGGGCTGCTGACTGGGCCGATGACGTGGCTGTTGACGTGGCGCTAACGGGGCGTAATTTTTTTAAATTGCGTTTTGACCCCCGGTTTTCGATTTTCTTTTCAAAAATACCCCAGAATCCTAATTTTCACCCCTTTTTCCCAAAATTAATTTCAATTAAATCCAAATAATATTTTTACATAATTTTACAATTATTGTTATTTTTATTTTTATTAACTTAAATTAAATTAAACTAAATAAATCAATTAAAATTTAAAAAATTATAAAATAAAACGAAATAAATAAAATAAATATAAATAAAATTAATAATAATAATAATAAAATTCTAAAATTATTGGGCGTTACAGATAATGTTGTAGAGAGTTCAGGTAATAGAAAAATTTGAGTCGAGTTTAGGGGTGATAAAAAGGAATTGCATGGAGACCGAGAGGTAAGGGTAAAAATAGGTAAAAATTTTAGAAGCATCACTGGATTTTGAAGGAGTGTGTGTTTTGGTGTGTTAGTAAGGGCTGTGTGGGTGTATAGAGTGGTCATTCGATGACTGATTACCATGGTGTGTCAGTAAGGGCTGTGTTGGTGTGTATGAGTGGTCATTCGATGGGTGGTTACCATGGTGTGTCGATAAGGGTTGTGTGTGTGTGTGTGTGTGTGTGTGTGTATGAGTGGTCATTCGATGGGTGGTTACCATGGTGTGTCGATAAGGGATGAGTGTGTGGACATATGATGGCCGATGAGTGCCAATGGTGGTGGAATAATGTGTGTGGCCTTAAGGGGGCCGGTGAGTGCCGATGTGGCAGAACAGTGTATGTGTGGCCTTAGAATGACTGTTGAGGGACAAACCTAAACAGTATAGTGCATGCATGGCCTTGAGGCTGCCGGTGATTGGCCAATACTGGTGGAATGGTGTGTGTGTGTGGCCTAGGGGTGGCCAATGGATTGCCAACAATGGCATAACCGTGGGTGTGTGTATGATCAATTAGTGGTTGTCGGGTGAGGGATGGTGTGCTGAGGATGTGTGTGTGTGGCCGGTGTGGTAGAGGTGTGTGGCCAAGTGAGGGTCATTAGGGGTTAGAGTGTGTGTGGGTGGTCGAATGAGGGCTGTTGGGGTATTAGTGTGTGTGTGGCCAAGTGAGGGTCATTGGGGGTTAGAGTGTGTGTGGGTGGTCGAGTGAGGGCTGTTGGGGTGTTAATGTGTGTGTGTGGCCGAGTGAGGGTTGTTGGCATCGATGTGTGTGAGTGCAGCCGAGTGAGGGCCGGTGTAGTGTGGGCGTGGCAGAGTGAAGGCCGGCGTAGGCATGTGTTATATGGTTGAACTGCTTTAGTAGTGTATTATTTAGGATTGTTGTTATGGTGTTTCTATGAGGTCATGATGCGTGACCAGTGTGGATATTCTGGTGTTGATGCAGTTGGCATGACTTTACATGTGTGTAAGATCATTGTACTTTAAAGTAAGCTTATATAAATGTCATAGATTATGTAATATGAGCTGATTATGTAAAGGTCCGGAACTTAGACAAAGTGAATTTATAATTTAAATGTAGAAGTAAATAATAATGTTAGAATTTACATTCTTTACACAGTAAATTAGAATGATCAATAGGGTTACGGGAATGTTCCTACTACAGTGGCTCATAAAAAGAAGCAAATAAATTATTTAAAATAAATAAATAGATGTCCTGGGGGTTAACCTCCACTAGCTCTTGAAAGGTCCGGGAGGTAAACTACTCACAACCTTCTTACTGATCGGAATTTGGATCCTGATTCTCTTGGTCTGAAATGATTAATAGAATGGTAAATTACACTAACTCAGTAAGAATATCACACTAATTACTGATACAGAAAATAAAAGTTGGTAAAAATTACAAAATAATTAGTGAAGCTCTTAATATAAGTAAATTCATTTAATATCAAAACGTTATTTCCAAATTTACCGTCACGAATTTTTCAAAACCAACCTATACAAATACCCATATAACAATTATAATTTCATATACAAGTGAGTAAAGTCGGTCATTCTCCTTTTTTATCTGCTCACTGGGACTCTTGGGGATCCATAAGAATATCCCCTTACTCATAAACTCAATATTTAAATTTGTAAATTTACCCAACCATCCTCATACTCCGTCTGGTAATGGACGCCAAACACATTATCACCTCGATACTCCGTTTTGAATGAAGGTGAATTATATCTCTCAAACTTTCTGGTATGGGACCCCTCAGCGCCATCCGGTTGAAGTATTGTCCACGGTAGTGTTTTGTTATATACCGGATCCATCCACCATTTTCCAGGATACCCAATAAGCCTTTTATATAGATCTCCATCAACAAGTAATCACCAATCACCTACTAACATCTCATTTTATATTCACAAATCAATTAAACGATATTTAAACAAACAATATATTTTTATACCTTAACAATTAACAAACATAATTAGGGTATTTATTTCAACTCAGTCAATTAGATAAGAATTACAATCGGGTAATCAAAAACGAGAAAATAGATGAACAATATAGATAAAATAAACAATTTCATACAAAAAAATAAATAGCCACATAGACAAGCTTAGGACAATCGTATATTGACAAGTTTTCTAGCTCTACTAGTGACCTGTAATTATTGTTAGAGTTTTTTTTTGTTTTTACAAAATACACAATTATCAATTATTAAGCCACAATTTATCATAACAGGGAATAGGATAAGAGATTCTTACCCGGATCGATTTTTCGAGACGTCACACTATCTACTATGCCTCCTAATGGGTATTGGGTTTGGTAAATTTTTCTGCAGAAATTCAAAATACTCGTCACACAACTAAAAATACTCAAAAAACTCCAAATAAGTGTTGAAAACTCTTTTTTGCCAATTTTAGGGTTCTGGCACGGTGGCACTACCGTGCTCCAGCATTGGCTCTGCCGCCCACGGCGATAGTTTGCCTCAGTCTGACCAATTTTAACCGATTTTGGCTGGTTTTATATGTACCCATGTGAAAAGACACGTTAGGGGGTCTTGGTTGGCCAGAAATTACAAAAAACGCGAACCTATTGGTGGGGGGTCTCCAAGTGCGACGACTCTACCAATTCTCCTTCGCGGCTGGGGTTTCTTCTTCCTCTAACCTGCACAGAAAATGATAATGAACATAATGGTCAGAAAATTATGTAAAATAGAAAATGAAAAAGGGCTCATCGTAGGAGTTTTAGGGTTTCAGCCGCGGCGGCTCTGTCAGGCTTTACCCACGATTTTCAGATCACCCACTACCCCTCTTACTCTGATATGGCAATGAGGAGACTCAAAATCGAATTCCAAACGGGTAAAGGAGAATTTTGCCTTTTTTGGCGATCGGTGGTGGCTCTGGTGTGGCGGCGACCGTGAGTCGGTCTCCTTCTCCAACAACTATCTTCCTTCTCTAGCGAGGGCAGGACGACTAGGGTTAGGGTTCCCTTGTGACGCGATGTTTATATACTCAATCCGCGTTGATCTGGACTGTCTATGCGCGTCGACATGGAACGAGGAGAATCGTCTGATCATTGCTTGTTTAGGTTGATTGCGTGGACGAATCTGAGTCATTTATCATAATTGATCTCGTCTATCCAATCGCACCTAATGAGGAACGAATCTGAGCATTTCACGCTTGCGAGATCGAACCTGGGCCGTCGGATCGCTGGACACGCGAATCACCTGCGTGGCCTCTTACATGGCACCGACATCAGCATATTTTATCACGTGGTATGTTCCGGCTCGTCGGGATTGCTGACCGGGCTGCGTCACATGGTTGAATTTTTTCTTTTTGCATTTTGACCCCTGTTTCTAATTTTTTTTTCAAAAACACTCAACAACTCAAATTTTCACCACTTTTTTCCAAAATTGCTTTCCATTATGTCCCTAATATATATATTTTAATAATTTAAAGATAATTTTTAATTATTTTTATAAATACCAAAATTAATTACGAGCAAAATTATGGGCCCAGGTATTACACGTTAGGTCTCTGTAGGTGCAGTACACACCAACGATGATGAAGAGGTAGACTAGTTAGTATTATTAATTGGTTAGAGAAGGGTTGGGGACTTTTGAGGGAGACGGGTGGAAGTAAGTTGTTGGGGTATATCTGCCTATGGAGTAGGTTTACACGGGGGGATGTTAGACTAAAAATGCAAATATTTTTACATACTTTGTTTTACGTTCTGAATTCATTTCACTGGATTAGAGTATGCCAATTCCATGTCATTTTCAGATGCAGTAGTACATGGGACGAAGTTAGGAATACCAGTTACAGTACAACATTTAGAGAAAGCGAATTAATCAAACCGTATAGACTCATATTGACTTACACTCGTAAAATTATAATTTAACATTTACTTTATAAATGAGAGTTTCCACCTGCCATTTTGGTATTGATGATTGTAAT